GGCTCGCTGATAAAATTCTCGCCCTTCAACGCCTCTTTCACTGCGTCTACTATCGCAGTCTTCAACGTGGTCCGATCCTTGGCTTCCTTCGCCTTACGAATGGCCGCACGTGAGCGGCGGCGCCTCCGGCTTTGATTTCCTTGCTGAAGTCCTCCCCCCTAGAGGTGCAGTCTGCAGATGCTGCGGCGGTGGCGGTGGAAGGGGTGCAGGGAAGTGGGGTTGGGGTTGGGGTTGAGGTGGCTGGTGGTTTGCCACCGAAACCGCATATGGTGGCGGTTGTTGGGGGTATGGGGGGTACGGGAGGTATTGGGGGTATGCCGGGTATACCGGGTAGTGCGGCTGTCCAAAATTATACGGATTCATCTGTAAATAATTTAAAAACTGTAATTTATAACAAAATTTCAAAATTTTACTTACCTTGTTATTGTTTGCGGCACGCGCTCGGAAACCAAAGTGACCAGATAAAATAACAAGAAAGAAAGCAAACTTCGGCAAGCCGAAGTTGAAATACTCTTGCAGCTATTACAAGAATTAAATATTTTTGAAAACATTAAAATTAAGATTTACTTGCGTATATGCTAAAAAACCTTGAAGCTATGATGATTTGCAGCTCTATTATAAGATAGTTATTTTATATATTCTTATTATTTCTATGGGAGCTATATGCTATAGTCGTCCGATTAGGCTCGATCCGACCAATATAGATAGCTTTAAAACTGAGAGACTAGTTTGCGTAGAAACGGACGGACAGACGGACAGATTGACAGACTGACAGACGGACATGGCTAGAACGACTCTCCTAGTGATCCTGATCAAGAATACCTATATATACTTTATAGGGTCGGAGGTGTCTCCTTCACTGCGTTGCAAACTTCTTTCTGAAATTATAATACCCTCTGTAATGGTATAAAAAGTTTAAGGTAGTGAAGGTAGTACTAGCTTCTACTTGAAAATGTCAAATATTTAAAAAATGTAACATAAAAAAACAAATATAATAAAATACAAAAATAACAATATATCTTTGCAATAAACTTAATTCCACCATAATAAAATATAAAACGGATTTTTTTTTATTTGGTTTTATTAGACACATTGAAAGTGCAAATACAAAAGAATAATTATATTATATATTCATCTAGTCTATTAATAGTTATAATTAACATAATTCTTATTATCAAAACACAATACGTTTTGCTAACAAAATATTTAAAATTAACTTATCCTTATATTAAAAATTAACTAAATTCAGTAAAATTTGAATTTAACTCAGACATGAGTGTGTCCTATGTGTACATTGAATTCAGTCCCATGTGGACATTGAGTCAAAAAGTAAAAGACTTTGCTTTCTTACTCAATGCCTATGTGGACATTGAATTCAGTCCCATGTGGATGTTGAATTCGGTCCCAGCCGCTTTCTATGGGAAAACAAGAACAACGTTTTTGTCAACAAAACAAAAAATCATTTGGTCATTTCACTCGCTCTGCCGCATTTCCCATAAGCTGAAAACAGAACAATAAGAGCGAACAGGCCAGCTGCAGAAATTCACCATGGGACCAAATTACAAGTTCGAATCGAACCGTGAGAGACTGAAATTTTCTCCTGTTTTAGTCTAGGTGGCATCACTGGAAAAGTCACTCGAGAGAGCGGCAGAGCAAATGGCGACTCTATACATTATTACTCTATGCATAGAGTAAGAAACTATATAGAGGCACCATTTGCTCTGCCCGCAAATTTCTCGACGCTGGCGTGACGCCGGTGTTTGAACAGTGTGGTGAATATAATCAGCTGTTCGAACATGTGCGAACGACCAGCAACAGTGGCTGGTCCGACGCTCGAGATGATGCTGCTGCTGCTGGTGGTGTTGTTTAGCAAATTAAATTCAATTTTATATTATTTTAAAAGAAATCTTACCTGTGGTTCCGTGGTGCTGTCCTCAAAGTTGACTTTGTCCCGCAGAATCCTCCAAAGTTCGCCGCCCAGACTACTTACCTTCCTAACATTTTCCCCCATTCAAAACGAGAACATTTTCTGGTTTTTAAACGTGGTTTTATTAACACATTTATAAAGTTAACTTCTGCATTGGCTCGCTGATTACTTGCTCGCCCTTCAATGCCTCTTTAACTGCGTCCACTATCCAGTCTGCAATGTGCTCCTCTCCCTAGCTTCCTTCGCCTTACGTATGGCCGCACGTGAGCGGCGGCGCCTCCGGCTTGGATTTGCCTGGCTTTGGCTCCAAATGCTGCGGCGGTGGCGGTGGAAGGGGTGCAGGGAAGTGCGGTTGGGGTTGTGGTTGGGGATGGGGTTGAGGTGGCTGGTAGTATGCCACCGAAACCGCGTATGGGGGCGGTTGTTGGGGGTATGGGAGGTATTGGGGGTATGCGGGGGGTACTGAGGCTGTCCAAAATTATAGGGATTCATCTGTAAATAATTAAAAAACTAATTTATAATAAAATGTCAAAATTTTACTTACCTTTAAGTTCTTTACAGCACGCGCCCGGAAACCAAACCAGATAAAAGAAAAAGTTTAAGGTAGTGCAAAAATTCAGTATTAAACCAAAGACTAGCTTCTACATGAAAATGTCAAATATTTAAAAAATGTAAAAAAAAAACAAATATAATAAAATACAAAAATAACAATACATCTTTGCAACAAACTTAATTCCACCATAATAAATTATATGACGGATTTTTTTTTTTATTTGGTTTTATTAGAAACATTGAAAGTGCAAATACAAAAGAATAATTATATTATATTTCATCTAGTCTTATAATAATTATAATTAACATAATTCTTATTATCAAACAATACGTTGTTTTTCTAACAAAATATTTAAAAGTAACTTATCCTTACATTAAAAATTAATTTAATTCAGTACAATTTGAATTTAACTCAGTCATGATTGGGTCCTATGTGGACATTGAATTCAGTCCCATGTGGACATTGAGTCAAAAAGTAAAAGCCTTTGCTTTCTTACTCAATGCCTATGTGGACATTGAATTCAGCCCCATATGGATGTTGAATTCGGTCCCAGCCGCTTTCTATGAGAAAACAAGAACAACGTTTTTGTCAACAAAGCAAAAATCATTTGGTCATTTCACTCGCTCTGCCGCATTTCCCATAGGCCAGCTGCAGAAATTCACCATGGGGCCAAATTAGAAGTTCGAATCGAACCGTGAGAGACTGAAATTTTCCCCTTTTTTAGTCTAGGTGGCATCACTGGAAAAGTCACTCAAGAGAGCGGCAGAGCAAATTACGACTCTATATATTTATTACTCTATGCCCACACCATAGAGTAAGAAATATATAGAGTATAGAGTAAGAAACTATATAGAGGCACCATTTGCTCAGCCCGCAAATTTCTCGACGCTGGCGTGACGCCGGTGTTTGAACAGTGTGGTGCTGTTCGAACATGTGCGAGCGACCAGCAACAGGATGCAACTGCCGTAAGAGCTGCATGCGAAAGAAGAGTTCAGCTAGTAAGCGCTAAATTCAAAATATTGAACGAGTTTTTGCGCTATTTTGTAAAAACAATGACTTCTCTTTTACTTTTTTTGCCTTTACAATAACTACATACGACTAAACACCGTTGATTGTCAATAAAAGTCCAAAAAAGCGATTCTTTATGACTTAAAACACATAAATTTCAGGTTTTTAAACAAAACGTCCAGGGGTATTGTCTTTAAGCCGATGGTAATTCGATTTCTTCATCCTTTTAGTGATTTCGTTGCAAAATCAGTTTATTTTCTTTTTATCATTTTAACACACTTCGAACATCCAAGCAGATTCCCAGTTAAGTCCAATTGCTTTTGCTGTTTGACGTGACGTCATGTCGAACCTGAAACATCTTCTCAATGCTCGACGTCCACCAATACAATCATCTCTCACACCTATTTTTAACTGTGTGAACTCAAAAATATTTCCGATTCCTACTCAGTATCAATAAAATATTCTCTGTTATTCAGCTGTAATGCTGATTTGAGATATTTTATTGGCATAGAGTAATTATGTTATTGGTTTGATTTGCTTTTTTGAGTTCGATTTGAAAATGAAACAAGAGTTTCGATTTTTAAGATAAGCAAATCTAAATTGCTTAAAAGTATTTAAAAAACATTATTTTGTATAATACAATTTTATTAAAAATATTGAGTAACAAAAAAATTTTAATTTAAAAAAATTAAATATTAATCACTATTGCTTCGTTTTAAGGCTTTTACCCAAATAATCATTTATTTCGTTATGTTTTATGATGATTTTAAGTAAGTTCCACTGTTAAGATATATAAGTCACAATAAATTTTAAATAAATTATGTAGTTTCCTACTCTATGTTAAAATCATGAATAAAAGCAATTATTCAAAACGCGAAACCAAGGCCAAATACACCCGGACGGATTCGACGGAGTTATCGGTCGCCGATAAGCATCGCCAAATAACCCGATTACCCAACACGGGATTATCGTCATCGGCCGATCTGGTCACACTGACCGGTGCCTATATAAGCGGAGGCAGCACCAGACCAGTCACTTGCTTTCCGACGAGTTTCTAGTAAACATCATCAGGGGTGAATATCCGGAAAAACCAAGTAGATCGTTTCTTCTAAAGACCCAAAGACCGACGTATTCGAACGACGGAGGAAGCAGTCTCTTCATAGAGTTAGAAGCTATATAGAGGCAACATTTGCTCTGCCCGCAACTTTCTCGACGCTGGCGTAACGCCGGTATTTGAACAGTGTGGTGAATGAACATGTTCGAACATGTGCTGGTCCGACGCTCGAGATGATGCTGCTGCTGCTGGTGGTGTTGTTCAACAAATTAGATTCAATTTTATATTATTTTAAAAGAAATCTTACCTGTGGTTCCGTGGTGGTGCTGTCCTCAAAGTTGGCTTTATCCCGCAGAATCCTCCAAAGTTCGCCGCCCAGACAACTTACCTTCCTAACATTTTCCCCCATTCAAAACGCGAACAATGTCTTGATTTAAAAATGTGATTTTATTAATTGGCTATATAGCCAATTTTTCCATGGGCTCGCTCATAAGATTGTCGCCCTTCAACGCTTCTTTTACTGCGTCTACTATTGCAGTCTTAAACTTGGCTTCCTTAGCCTTGCGAATGGCCGCATGTGAGCGGCGGCGCCTCCGGCTTTGACTCCCTTGCTGAAGTCCTCCCCCCTGCGGCGGTGGCGGTGGAAGGGGTGCAGGGAAGTGGGGTTGGGGTTGGGGATGGGGTTGAGGTGGCTGGTGGTATGCCACCGAAACCGCATATGGGGGCGGTTGTTGGGGGTACGGGAGGTATTGGGTGTATGCTGGGTATCCGGGGTATACCGGGTAGTGCGGCTGTCCATACGGATTCATCTGTAAATAATTTAAAAACTGTAATTTATAACAAAATTTCAAAATTTTACTTACCTTGTTATTACTCTATGGCACGCGCTTGGAAACCAAAATGACCAGATAAAATAAAAATTTTAAGGTAGTGAAAAAATTCTGTATTAAACCAAAAAACACTAGCTTCTACTTGAAAATGTCAAATATTTAAAAAATGTAAAATAAAAAAACAAATATAATAAAATACAAAAATAACAATATATCTTTGCAACAAACTTAATTCCACCATAATAAAGTATAAAACGGATTTTTTTTATTTGGTTTTATTAGAAACATTGAAAGTGCAAATACAAAAGAATAATTATATTATATATTCATCTAGTCTATTAATAGTTATAATTAACATAATTCTTATTATCAAAACACAATACGTTTTGCTAACAAAATATTTAAAATTAACTTATCCTTATATTACAAATTATTTAAATTCAGTACAATTTGAATTTAACTCAGACATGATTGGGTCCTATGTGGACATTGAATTCAGTCCCATGTGGACATTGAGTCAAAAAGTAAAAGACTTTGCTTTCTTACTCAATGCCTATGTGGACATTGAATTCAGTCCCATGTGGATGTTGAATTCGGTCCCAGCCGCTTTCTATGGAAAAACAAGAACAACGTTTTTGTCAACAAAACAAAAAATCATTTGGACATTTCACTCGCTCTGCCGCATTTCCCATAAGCTGAAAACAGAACAATAAGAGCGAACAGGCCAGCTGCAGAAATTCACCATGGGACCAAATTACAAGTTCGAATCGAACCGTGAGAGACTGAAATTTTCTCCTGTTTTAGTCTAGGTGGCATCATGGAAAAGTCACTCGAGAGAGCGGCAAAGCTAATGGCGACTCTATACATTATTACTCTATGCATAGAGTAAGAAACTATATAGAGGCACCATTTTCTCTGCCCGCAAATTTCTCGACGCTGGCGTGACGCCGGTGTTTGAACAGTATGGTGAATATAATCAGCTGTTCGAACATGTGCGAACGACCAGCAACAGTGGCTGGTCCGACGCTCGAGATGATGCTGCTGCTGCTGGTGGTGTTGTTTAGCAAATTAAATTCAATTTTATATTATTTTAAAAGAAATCTTACCTGTGGTTCCGTGGTGCTGTCCTCAAAGTTGACTTTGTCCCGCAGAATCCTCCAAAGTTCGCCGCCCAGACTACTTACCTTCCTAACATTTTCCCCCATTCAAAACGAGAACATTTTCTGGTTTTTAAACGTGGTTTTATTAACACATTTATAAAGTTAACTTCTGCATTGGCTCGCTGATTACTTGCTCGCCCTTCAATGCCTCTTTAACTGCGTCCACTATCCAGTCTGCAATGTGCTCCTCTCCCTAGCTTCCTTCGCCTTACGTATGGCCGCACGTGAGCGGCGGCGCCTCCGGCTTGGATTTGCCTGGCTTTGGCTCCAAATGCTGCGGCGGTGGCGGTGGAAGGGGTGCAGGGAAGTGCGGTTGGGGTTGTGGTTGGGGATGGGGTTGAGGTGGCTGGTAGTATGCCACCGAAACCGCGTATGGGGGCGGTTGTTGGGGGTATGGGAGGTATTGGGGGTATGCGGGGGGTACTGAGGCTGTCCAAAATTATAGGGATTCATCTGTAAATAATTAAAAAACTAATTTATAATAAAATGTCAAAATTTTACTTACCTTTAAGTTCTTTACAGCACGCGCCCGGAAACCAAACCAGATAAAAGAAAAAGTTTAAGGTAGTGCAAAAATTCAGTATTAAACCAAAGACTAGCTTCTACATGAAAATGTCAAATATTTAAAAAATGTAAAAAAAAAACAAATATAATAAAATACAAAAATAACAATATATCTTTGCAACAAACTTAATTCCACCATAATAAATTATATGACGGATTTTTTTTTTTATTTGGTTTTATTAGAAACATTGAAAGTGCAAATACAAAAGAATAATTATATTATATATTCATCTAGTCTTATAATAATTATAATTAACATAATTCTTATTATCAAACAATACGTTGTTTTTCTAACAAAATATTTAAAAGTAACTTATCCTTACATTAAAAATTAATTTAATTCAGTACAATTTGAATTTAACTCAGTCATGATTGGGTCCTATGTGGACATTGAATTCAGTCCCATGTGGACATTGAGTCAAAAAGTAAAAGCCTTTGCTTTCTTACTCAATGCCTATGTGGACATTGAATTCAGCCCCATATGGATGTTGAATTCGGTCCCAGCCGCTTTCTATGAGAAAACAAGAACAACGTTTTTGTCAACAAAGCAAAAATCATTTGGTCATTTCACTCGCTCTGCCGCATTTCCCATAGGCCAGCTGCAGAAATTCACCATGGGGCCAAATTAGAAGTTCGAATCGAACCGTGAGAGACTGAAATTTTCCCCTTTTTTAGTCTAGGTGGCATCACTGGAAAAGTCACTCAAGAGAGCGGCAGAGCAAATTACGACTCTATATATTTATTACTCTATGCCCACACCATAGAGTAAGAAATATATAGAGTATAGAGTAAGAAACTATATAGAGGCACCATTTGCTCAGCCCGCAAATTTCTCGACGCTGGCGTGACGCCGGTGTTTGAACAGTGTGGTGCTGTTCGAACATGTGCGAGCGACCAGCAACAGGATGCAACTGCCGTAAGAGCTGCATGCGAAAGAAGAGTTCAGCTAGTAAGCGCTAAATTCAAAATATTGAACGAGTTTTTGCGCTATTTTGTAAAAACAATGACTTCTCTTTTACTTTTTTTGCCTTTACAATAACTACATACGACTAAACACCGTTGATTGTCAATAAAAGTCCAAAAAAGCGATTCTTTATGACTTAAAACACATAAATTTCAGGTTTTTAAACAAAACGTCCAGGGGTATTGTCTTTAAGCCGATGGTAATTCGATTTCTTCATCCTTTTAGTGATTTCGTTGCAAAATCAGTTTATTTTCTTTTTATCATTTTAACACACTTCGAACATCCAAGCAGATTCCCAGTTAAGTCCAATTGCTTTTGCTGTTTGACGTGACGTCATGTCGAACCTGAAACATCTTCTCAATGCTCGACGTCCACCAATACAATCATCTCTCACACCTATTTTTAACTGTGTGAACTCAAAAATATTTCCGATTCCTACTCAGTATCAATAAAATATTCTCTGTTATTCAGCTGTAATGCTGATTTGAGATATTTTATTGGCATAGAGTAATTATGTTATTGGTTTGATTTGCTTTTTTGAGTTCGATTTGAAAATGAAACAAGAGTTTCGATTTTTAAGATAAGCAAATCTAAATTGCTTAAAAGTATTTAAAAAACATTATTTTGTATAATACAATTTTATTAAAAATATTGAGTAACAAAAAAATTTTAATTTAAAAAAATTAAATATTAATCACTATTGCTTCGTTTTAAGGCTTTTACCCAAATAATCATTTATTTCGTTATGTTTTATGATGATTTTAAGTAAGTTCCACTGTTAAGATATATAAGTCACAATAAATTTTAAATAAATTATGTAGTTTCCTACTCTATGTTAAAATCATGAATAAAAGCAATTATTCAAAACGCGAAACCAAGGCCAAATACACCCGGACGGATTCGACGGAGTTATCGGTCGCCGATAAGCATCGCCAAATAACCCGATTACCCAACACGGGATTATCGTCATCGGCCGATCTGGTCACACTGACCGGTGCCTATATAAGCGGAGGCAGCACCAGACCAGTCACTTGCTTTCCGACGAGTTTCTAGTAAACATCATCAGGGGTGAATATCCGGAAAAACCAAGTAGATCGTTTCTTCTAAAGACCCAAAGACCGACGTATTCGAACGACGGAGGAAGCAGTCTCTTCATAGAGTTAGAAGCTATATAGAGGCAACATTTGCTCTGCCCGCAACTTTCTCGACGCTGGCGTAACGCCGGTATTTGAACAGTGTGGTGAATGAACATGTTCGAACATGTGCTGGTCCGACGCTCGAGATGATGCTGCTGCTGCTGGTGGTGTTGTTCAACAAATTAGATTCAATTTTATATTATTTTAAAAGAAATCTTACCTGTGGTTCCGTGGTGGTGCTGTCCTCAAAGTTGGCTTTATCCCGCAGAATCCTCCAAAGTTCGCCGCCCAGACAACTTACCTTCCTAACATTTTCCCCCATTCAAAACGCGAACAATGTCTTGATTTAAAAATGTGATTTTATTAATTGGCTATATAGCCAATTTTTCCATGGGCTCGCTCATAAGATTGTCGCCCTTCAACGCTTCTTTTACTGCGTCTACTATTGCAGTCTTAAACTTGGCTTCCTTAGCCTTGCGAATGGCCGCATGTGAGCGGCGGCGCCTCCGGCTTTGACTCCCTTGCTGAAGTCCTCCCCCTGCGGCGGTGGCGGTGGAAGGGGGTGCAGGGAAGTGGGGTTGGGGTTGGGGATGGGGTTGAGGTGGCTGGTGGTATGCCACCGAAACCGCATATGGGGGCGGTTGTTGGGGGTACGTGAGGTATTGGGTGTATGCTGGGTATCCGGGGTATACCGGGTAGTGCGGCTGTCCATACGGATTCATCTGTAAATAATTTAAAAACTGTAATTTATAACAAAATTTCAAAATTTTACTTACCTTGTTATTACTCTATGGCACGCGCTTGGAAACCAAAATGACCAGATAAAATAAAAATTTTAAGGTAGTGAAAAAATTCTGTATTAAACCAAAAAACACTAGCTTCTACTTGAAAATGTCAAATATTTAAAAAATGTAAAATAAAAAAAAAATATAATAAAATACAAAAATAACAATATATCTTTGCAACAAACTTAATTCCACCATAATAAAGTATAAAACGGATTTTTTTTATTTGGTTTTATTAGAAACATTGAAAGTGCAAATACAAAAGAATAATTATATTATATATTCATCTATTAATATTTATAATTAATAGTTATAATTAATAGTTATAATTAACATAATTCTTATTATCAAAACACAATACGTTTTGCTAACAAAATATTTAAAATTAACTTATCCTTATATTACAAATTATTTAAATTCAGTACAATTTGAATTTAACTCAGACATGATTGGGTCCTATGTGGACATTGAATTCAGTCCCATGTGGACATTGAGTCAAAAAGTAAAAGACTTTGCTTTCTTACTCAATGCCTATGTGGACATTGAATTCAGTCCCATGTGGATGTTGAATTCGGTCCCAGCCGCTTTCTATGGAAAAACAAGAACAACGTTTTTGTCAACAAAACAAAAAATCATTTGGACATTTCACTCGCTCTGCCGCATTTCCCATAAGCTGAAAACAGAACAATAAGAGCGAACAGGCCAGCTGCAGAAATTCACCATGGGACCAAATTACAAGTTCGAATCGAACCGTGAGAGACTGAAATTTTCTCCTGTTTTAGTCTAGGTGGCATCATGGAAAAGTCACTCGAGAGAGCGGCAAAGCTAATGGCGACTCTATACATTATTACTCTATGCATAGAGTAAGAAACTATATAGAGGCACCATTTTCTCTGCCCGCAAATTTCTCGACGCTGGCGTGACGCCGGTGTTTGAACAGTGTGGTGAATATAATCAGCTGTTCGAACATGTGCGAACGACCAGCAACAGTGGCTGGTCCGACGCTCGAGATGATGCCATAGAGTAATAATGTATAGAGTCGCCATTTGCTCTGCCGCTCTCTCGAGTGACTTTTCCATGATGCCACCTAGACTAAAACAGGAGAAAATTTCAGTCTCTCACGGTTCGATTCGAACTTGTAATTTGGTCCCATGGTGAATTTCTGCAGCTGGCCTGTTCGCTCTTATTGTTCTGTTTTCAGCTTATGGGAAATGCGGCAGAGCGAGTGAAATGACCAAATGATTTTTTGTTTTGTTGACAAAAACGTTGTTCTTGTTTTTCCATAGAAAGCGGCTGGGACCGAATTCAACATCCACATGGGACTGAATTCAATGTCCACATAGGCATTGAGTAAGAAAGCAAAGTCTTTTACTTTTTGACTCAATGTCCACATGGGACTGAATTCAATGTCCACATAGGACCCAATCATGTCTGAGTTAAATTCAAATTGTACTGAATTTAAATAATTTGTAATATAAGGATAAGTTAATTTTAAATATTTTGTTAGCAAAACGTATTGTGTTTTGATAATAAGAATTATGTTAATTATAACTATTAATAGACTAGATGAATATATAATATAATTATTCTTTTGTATTTGCACTTTCAATGTTTCTAATAAAACCAAATAAAAAAAAATCCGTTTTATACTTTATTATGGTGGAATTAAGTTTGTTGCAAAGATATATTGTTATTTTTGTATTTTATTATATTTGTTTTTTTATTTTACATTTTTTAAATATTTGACATTTTCAAGTAGAAGCTAGTGTTTTTTGGTTTAATACAGAATTTTTTCACTACCTTAAACTTTTTATTTTATCTGGTCATTTTGGTTTCCAAGCGCGTGCCATAGAGTAATAACAAGGTAAGTAAAATTTTGAAATTTTGTTATAAATTACAGTTTTTAAATTATTTACAGATGAATCCGTATGGACAGCCGCACTACCCGGTATACCCCGGATACCCAGCATACACCCAATACCTCCCGTACCCCCAACAACCGCCCCCATATGCGGTTTCGGTGGCATACCACCAGCCACCTCAACCCCATCCCCAACCCCAACCCCACTTCCCTGCACCCCTTCCACCGCCACCGCCGCAGGGGGGAGGACTTCAGCAAGGGAGTCAAAGCCGGAGGCGCCGCCGCTCACATGCGGCCATTCGCAAGGCTAAGGAAGCCAAGTTTAAGACTGCAATAGTAGACGCAGTAAAAGAAGCGTTGAAGGGCGACAATCTTATGAGCGAGCCCATGGAAAAATTGGCTATATAGCCAATTAATAAAATCACATTTTTAAATCAAGACATTGTTCGCGTTTTGAATGGGGGAAAATGTTAGGAAGGTAAGTTGTCTGGGCGGCGAACTTTGGAGGATTCTGCGGGATAAAGCCAACTTTGAGGACAGCACCACCACGGAACCACAGGTAAGATTTCTTTTAAAATAATATAAAATTGAATCTAATTTGTTGAACAACACCACCAGCAGCAGCAGCATCATCTCGAGCGTCGGACCAGCACATGTTCGAACATGTTCATTCACCACACTGTTCAAATACCGGCGCTACGCCAGCGTCGAGAAAGTTGCGGGCAGAGCAAATGTTGCCTCTATATAGCTTCTAACTCTATGAAGAGACTGCTTCCTCCGTCGTTCGAATACGTCGGTCTTTGGGTCTTTAGAAGAAACGATCTACTTGGTTTTTCCGGATATTCACCCCTGATGATGTTCACTCGAAACTCGTCGGAAAGCAAGTGACTGGTCTGGTGCTGCCTCCGCTTATATAGGCACCGGTCAGTGTGACCAGATCGGCCGATGACGATAATCCCGCGTTGGGTAATCGGGTTATTTGGCGATGCTTATCGGCGACCGATAACTCCGTCGAATCCGTCCGGGTGTTGTTGGCCTTGGTTTCGCGTTTTGAATAATTGCTTTTATTCATGATTTTAAATTCGTTTCGTTTTGATTTGTGACAATTCAAAAGTTAACAAACCCAGATCAGCTTTTCGTGTCATTCACATGTCAGAGTAGCATTAGCTAAATTCTAAATGCGCCAATGGAATCAGGCACATTAAAAAATTCGCATGTGGAAAGTTTTTCCTCTGCCACCGATTTTTCCACTGATCTTGGCCATCGTGACCATGGTCAAGCTTTTTGGCCCGCAGGTCAAATGGAAGTGAATAGCTTCGCATTCGCATTTGTTAATTTAATTATATTCAAAGGCATTTCCCTTAAATCCGCTGACTTGGCCAAAATGCATCTCTCGTTACCTTTGACACTACTCTGAAAATTTCGCGATTTGTAATGCTTGGTCGAGATATATAAAGATATATATATATATAATACGTTAAAGACAATGAATTATTTTCTTCATTGCGTTGCAAACTTGATGGAAATCTGAATACCCTCTACAAGGGTATAAAAACCACTTTATTTGCTTAGTATTAGTCATCACTTTAATTAATTTAATTTAAATCTGAAAACGTTATACGAACGATCGAATAACTGAGGTAAAAATCATCATAGTTAAAAGGTTTTTTAAAAACATACGCATATGTATAAAATGTTTAAGATTTAGATGTTTTAAAAAATATTCATTTATGCAAAAGATGCTAGGGTAACTTTGGGTTGCAGAAGTTTACTTCTCTTCTGGTTTAATTTTTTTTTTCAATTTTGATCTTTTTATTATAAAAATACTCCAATTCGGTGTTCTCTCCATAATCGGCGCCGTCAAAAGTCTCATATGCAAATTCTGATTCGCATAATATAAGGGCAATGACTTCATATATTTTTAATTGCGCCTCCTAAAATTGGCCTCTCACTCCTTTTAATTGAAAGGACACATTTGGATGTCCAACAGATTTTCGTTTTGCCTTTACTTTGCTTTTATTTCCAATTAAATTAAAGATAGGACTTTCTTCCATTCATTTCGATCATATTATACTTTTGTAATAAATTGCAATAAATTTACGAAAAACATTCACTCTTTCTCCCTTAAAGCCGTTTCATTAAAATCAAGAATGCTGGTATCAATTTCCTCATTTTCCTTGTCGCGACTGCCCGTTTGCTTACGCCACACTTCCATATTGCTTTCTAAAAATTAAATTTCGCAAAACGTCGCAGAAGCGCACATTTAGCTTTGTTTTTTGAAATCAGGAATTGGTGGCTCTACAAAATGGACATAGACCCTCAATGAACAAACCTGAACATCTTTTTAAGACTTATTTTAAAGTTGAATTTTTATTACAATAGCTCATAGACACCACGTTCAAAATTTACAAATTTTATTACAAACCTGTTTACTTAATTTCCATTTAAAATTCAAACGTTTTAAGTTGTTTCGTTGGAGAATTATAAAATTTAAATTGCACCTCAAAAGTAAGTGAAATGTTAAAACTTGTTGTTCGTTTGCAACAACCGAATTTGACACCCTATTAAAACAGACTGGAAAGTCATGTTAACAATTGCCGTATGTAACATATCAGTTTCATTTATACTTAATACGTTGGCATTTAAAAAAAAAGCACATTAAGCCAAAAAAAAGGGTCAAATTCCCCATAGTACATTGCCAATGTGGAGCAGAAGACGCTGCCGTATGTCCATGAGTGCAAGACTGCCATGTAGAGCTTCTTCTATGCCTAAATCGCGAAAAAGGTGCAAAGACTAAGATTATTAAGCTCTTCTTTATAAAAATGGTATAATGATAATTATCTAAACTAGTGTTTCGATGATCAAACTGCGGAATCGAAAGTCTCCTCGAGGAAATAGCACTCAATCGTCACAAGCGGAGTTGTTGATCTAAATGTTGTATTTTTTTAAGGGTGATCCTTGATCAGCATCACAAGGAGAGTCGGTCAAGCCAAGTCCGCCCGGCCGTCCGTTTCTACGTAATCAAGTCTCTCAGGCTCGGGAATGTTTCCTTCACTGCATTGCAAACTTCTGACTGAAATTATAATACCCTCTGTAAGGGTATAAAAATATTTAATACCTATAATAATATCGCTCACAGATCTTGTTGCGCCCCTACGATTTATCACTTTTTTTTGCGGCCAAGCAAATTGACCCACCCTAATGTATATAAAGGGTGATTTTTTAAGAGCTTTCCTACTTTAAAAAGAAAAAAACACATTCAGAAATATTAATGAATCTTGATTTGAATCGATAGTATGGTCAATATAATTTAATGTTTAAAGATAATTTCATTTAAATGTTGGTCGCGACTTCGCCCTAAATGCTCCATCCGCTTAGTACAATTTTGGCATACTCTTTCCAACATTTCTGCCGGTATCTCGCTCATGAAAGCTTCGATGTTGGCTTCCAATGCTCCAATTGTTGCGGGATCGTCCCTATAGACATGAGCCTTGACATGGCCCCACAAATAATAATCTGAGGGCGAACGCACCTCTTAGTTGGTCCATTGTTTAATGTGCTGTGTTGAATGTGGCACCATCTTGTTGGAACCACATGTTATGCAGGCTAAACTCTTCCATGTTGGGCAAAAAAGAGCTATCATTGCACGGTATCGCTCTCCATTCACCATTCATCATCTTTGAAGAATTACGGCCCAATGAACTTTCTTAACCGATCACTCATTTTGATAGTAAAATTTAATAATTTGCAACCGTTGTTCGTTTGTTAAACGATTCATGGTTAAATTATAAGCCTAGCTAAAAATATTTAGCAGGGTTACAAGACAAAAACTAGCGCTAACTGTAAAAACTAGGGTTGCCAAAAAGAAAGTTGCTAAACAATAACCCTTTATTTACTACAGAAAGGTATGCCTTGAAATATGAATCAAGCTAAAGTACTTTTTAACGCTGTTTCCTAAACATATCTAGGTTAGTTGAACATTGGAATTCGAACCCTTTGGACAGTTACGAGACGACAAAAATTTAAATTTTAGTTTTATTTTTCCGTGCTAAGCAATTACCGTGAGTTGATTTGTTTTTTTTTGTGTGTTTCTATTTTGTCCTAATATTTATTTTTGTAGGACAAAGCAAATCACCATGTGCAGCTATCCCTGCTATCCTTGCGCCGCTTTGTGTCCCTGCGGAGGTAGTGGACCAAGTGGATTCTACGATCCTTGTTTTGGCCCCTACAACGGTCCTTTTAACTCTTGGTGTGGGGCAAGCGGTCCTGGTTTCTGGCGGGGTGGTTGCTGCTAATTTTTGTCGTGGGTTGCAGGACCAAAATGAAGTCTTAGCAGCTTTAGTTGCTTGCACAAAATTGGAACCGTCAAACAAACTCTACTCCTAAAATATTAATTTCCAGTCGAATCTCTTACAATGGCTTAAAACGGAAAAATAAAAATGTCAAGGACGTAATCTTCTTTGTATCAACTAATTGCTTTTTTTCATTCAGAATCTTGGCTGTGCTTTTCGATCAACATAATAACATGTTCTAACATGTGAAAGACTTTCACGCTTTGATATCGGCTTTTGATTCTATATTATAGGGAAGCTCTTCCTTCTATCTGCTACAGTTTTCAAGGAATTTATTATATCTTTTACTCTGAGAGTTGGTCATCGTTTAAAATGAACTTCTAAAATAAAAGATGCAATAAACCAAGTCTGTAAATGACGTGATAGACTTTTATGATTTGTGGGCGTGGCTCCGTTTTGAAATAAAGACTAGACGTTTTGGCTTGAAAATGCTTCGTCCAAGTTCCAATTTTATATTCTGGACCTACTTAGAAGTCGACCTTTTTATTGAACAAAACTATGAAAAGCAGTTTCGTAAGGTCAATAATACAAACCAATTTTTTGTTTATTTAGCCGTGGAAAATTAAAGTTATAAATTACAAGTTATAATTTGGCCCGATCCTTGTGAAGTTGTAACAGGACCGAGTATGACTTGGGACTGTGAAATTACATGGAACTGGAATTGAAAAACATTTCGTAATTTTTTTTTTAGCGATTAAGATCCCGGGCTCAAGCCCCAGACAAAGTTATCAATTTATTATTTTTATGTGGCGCAACCACCTAATGCATTTTCGAATCCTAAGGACTCGTTTCGAATCCCGGTTAGGTCGACTTGCAGTGAACAAAATAAGTTTACTTTTCTGTTTCCTTTACTTTATCATGTTCCCTATCATTCTAATTTCATATGGGATCAAAGAGAGAAAGAGACAAATAACATTATTTTGCAAAACCTAAACTAAGAAACTTTTATACTTCCATAAAGAATTTTTCGTAGTCAAACCAATATCTTTCGCACTTTTTTCAAGCACTTTTGAGAACTTGGACTGATGACGTTCATTCCCAAATGTAGAACTTCGGTATTGAATAATTCGTACTTGAATATTACCTTTCATACTTTAATCAACAAAATTCGAATTTAACCTACTTTTGACACCGTTCGTACATGATTTGACACCGAAATTCTGAATTTTTTATGTGTACAGATGTGTCTTTGACAATGACCGCCATATAACAGTCTCGATTTCCAATCTTTGCCTATTCATAAGAAATAGGCAAAATAACAAATGTTTTAAGTGTAAGTAAATATTTAAATATTTACATTACATGTTATAAGCGAAATTTATGTAGATTAAATTATAAATTATTCTGTAGCATTGTTACATGCTATTAATCATAAAATATATTCATTTTCAAATTCTCATTATTTATATATTTATTATATTTGTTCCCTGAAGCTATTGAAGCTATATTCGGAAAAATTCAATTTTGGAGGCGACGACTCTAATTATTGTGGATTATAATCCTAATTCTAAAAACGAAAGTTGCGATGGAAGCTCTGATAGCGATTGATTTGTATTTCTTTTCATTTCGTAATAAATGTTTCCTATTAATTTTTGTAATCAGTGACCCAAAAAAACTTATATTATGAATTTCAGCAAAAACGTTAAGTTTTTGAGACAAAATGGCCGCCATTTTGGGTCCGCCATTTCGAACTTTTCATTTTCATAACCAGCGACCCAAAAAATTATAAATCAAAAAAATTTGATAACAATCTATTAACCTTTTGGCCAGTAAATCGGACTTCTTGCCGAATGAGAACATTTAAAAAGTGGTTTCTATAATTTTTCTTCACAAAATTTGATAACAGATGATAACGACTTTTTTAGGACGTTAAAAGGTGTTTTTTTATATCAAAACTTTTTGTTTGAAGTACAGTCAAAGTAATCCAATATTATTACCATGATTAAAAAATTTAACTCTTAGCTACACTTATTTTATTTTAACAAATTACGTTTGGTAAGACTTGAAAGCTTAACTAATAAGAAAGGAAGCAAACTTTTCAGCTTTTTCAAACATGACTCCCCTGGTGATGCTGATCAAGAATATATATACCTATAGGATCGGAAATGTCTCCTTCACTGCTTTGCAAACTACTGACTTTGCAAGGGTGTAAAAATAATGTAATATGATGCATATTTAAAGTAACTAAAAAGCGCAACGAATGAAAATCAAAGCGAAAAATATTTAAATTGAGAACAAAATATTTGGGTTTTTTACAAGTGTACTACCTACCTCCAATAAGTATACAATAAATATTCAAGAAAATATTTAATATAACACACAGAACATCTTTAACCAAAAAAAAATAATATCAAACGTCCTCTTTAACTGTTTTTTTTTGTTTTTATTTAAAAATTAAATAAAACTGTTATTGAATCATATTGACTTTGTCATTTTTTTTTTTTTTATCTGTTTATTATTTTTATCTGTTTAAATTTAATTAGTTTATCTGGCTGCTGTTTAGCGTCGCAAATAAGCCCATTAGCAGCTTTGGTTGCTTTACTCCACCAAAAGCTCACCATTAAGCTCAGATTAACTTTTTGGTGGACACAACTAATTAGAGGCAAAGATATCAAAGCTCTGTTCGGCCACTAAATTTAAATAATTTATTGGGCAATATTTAAAATGATCGATTGCGCATATATGCTAATTCAAGAGCCTGCAGTCCATATGGTATTTTTACATTTTTAATCGTTTTTTGATCGGCAAAGCATTCTTGGTATACAGCAATCGAAATTGGCATTCGTTTGGTGTGCATAAATTGGTTATTTTAGTTTGGTTTTTGTTAAATGTGGTTCGCTAATTGGTTAATTAAGTTGGACCTGGGGCAAAAAGTATCAACGAAGATATATTTTTATGCAAGCCAAGCCATTTTTTGTCGCTGTGCGAATTTTTTTTAAATGGCATAATTAAAACGGATAACGCCTCTTTTGTTGGCCATCTGCCTCCTCTTTTTCGTACAAAATTTGTTTGAAGTAGGCTAAGCAAATTCGCTATCCCTCATGAATAGATTTCTTTTAAGTGAAAGATGCTTTAAGAGGCTGCATTCATGCATTAAACATTAACCAATATGCAGCTTCGATTAGTTTATACAACAATAAACAAAGCGCAGACATGGGACGTCTGAAGGTCGTACACAAAAAAAAAAATCATAATCATATCTGTGACACATAAAGATGTTTAACAAATTCAACATTAACTTGAAACGTGATCTTATTTTATTGGAAAATGATTCCGAAATAATAATCAAGCTTAATAAATCTATTAATATTAACCGAAATCTCGCAAAAATTATGGAGTAAGTACTTTTTGATTTATCATATTATGTTCACCAACTTTTTTTCTCAGTTTTTGCTCTAGTTAATGGCTTTGATACACGACCGATCAAAAAGAGATGTCGAAGATTGAGAAAAGTGCCACCTCACGATTGGGCAAAAAACTGGCAAATAGCTCGGCCAAAAAATGCGAAAAGAGCGAGAAAAAGTCATTTAATTGAAATTAATATGATCTTTCGAAAACACTTAAACTCCAGCTGGGCTGCTTCACAATCGAAGCAATCGAATAAAGGCACTGCAAACGCCCACCAGCGGCTAAGATTTCATTAGTTACAAGTTCACTGGGGCTGAGGTTTAAGCCGAGCTTAAATCCTTGAGCCGCGCTTGGTCAAGCGTGTAGTTTGGCCATTAGCACTGGCTAATAGGCAAACAAACTAATTTCCGCTAACTGCGGCAGCGAGCGTGGATCAGTTGACCTTTGACATTAACCGGCACCGACGGAGGCCCTTTAATCGCTGCGTGGCCCGCTGTCGCGCATGCAAATGAGTGTTGGTGGTCGGACACTCAATCAGTTGTGCCTCGCGGCTTGCCTGCCCTATTGACATTGCCAAACCCATCCAAATCTACCGATAACGATGAGCGCTTACCGGCGACCAGCCACGGCCTTAACCCTTTCCTGGGCAGTGTGAAGTGCACCTGTGCTTTCCCACAAAATCCCATTGGTTCGAATTTTTTTTTTTAATAAATAAGTAAGACATTAGCACATAAGTATGTTTTGGTTATCGAGCAATTCACAGCGAGCATCTAATTAATATACATTTCTTTAGTTTTTGAACATTTTTTTAGTTTACGACTGGCTTAGGTTAACTTTTTATTACCCATGGTATAATACATTATTAATTTCCAAAATATCAAGGGTCTTGAGTTTTAAATTCAAAACGAAAGAACATTTTGTATCCATTATCAAATTTATTTTATGTGCCAATTCGAAGTATTAAAGATCAGTTGCAAACTTTTTTTCCTAGATTTTGCAGAGTTGCATTTTATAAGGAAAATCGTAATTTACTAGCAATTCGAATTGTAATAGTCTTTAGATGTCAATCGAAAAGTCTATATTTTAAAGTTTTCGATAAATTTACAAAATGTATATTTAAGAGATAATTTAAGTGCTCTTTAAACAAGTAAAAGCACAGTCGAATAGTGTGATGCACTAAGCAAGATCTGGAAATGGTCTGATAAAGCCATAAACTAACTTCTTAAATATGGGAAACTGTCCGCATTGCCAAAAAGCATAAAACTAAATAAACAAAAAAAATTTACATTTTTATTACTTGTAAATATAAGATAGAAAAACAAAGGCCTTACAAAGCTATAATGAATTCCGCTCGCCCCAACACCCAGCGCAGGGTTAACGATCCACTGCTCTACTCTCTTCATAACTTCATAACCGGCTGGCTCTTCTCTGACGAAAAGAAGCCCAGCGAAGGCACGAAGACAGGCAAACAGCTGGCCCAATCTTCTTGGGCTTTTGGTATAAAAGTGCCGGCCCATCTGCAAGTGGTCATCATTCAGCTTCAGCGTCTCACGACCAGAGCTTACCAAAGCCAATCCAACGAACTTCAAGTGTCAGCCAACAAATCAACAACAATGGTGAGTACACTGCCCACTGCCCAATGGTTACTGGTCACAAGCCGATCAAGTTACCCGACGACCTTGGTCAACTTTGTCTCACCTTGACCATCAATTCCGCTCATTCCAGAAACTCTTCGTCTTCGCTGTGTGCGCCATTGCCGTGGTCTCCGCCGACGTGTCCCATCTCAACCTGGGCGGTGGCAATGGCTACAGCTACAACAAGCCCACGCCGACCTTCAACTTCCACTCGGCTCCTGCTCCGGCTGCGGCTCCGGCTCCTGCTTACCTGCCCCCCGCCCAGGAGGTGATCTCTGCGCCTGCCCCAGCTCCAGTCTACTCTGCTCCTGCTCCTGCTCCCGCTCCAGTCTACTCTGCTCCTGCCCCGGCACCCGCTCCAGTCTACTCCGCTCCTGCCCCGGCTCCGGTCTACTCTGCCCCTGTGTCTGAGTACCTGCCCCCCGTTCAGGACATCCCTGCTCCAGCTCCAGCTCCCGTCTACTCGGCTCCTGCCCCAGCTCCAGTTTACTCTGCTCCTGCTCCTGCTCCAGTTTACTCTGCTCCTGCCCCAGCTCCCGCTCCAGTCTACTCTGCTCCTGCTCCAGCTCCAGTCTACTCTGCTCCAGAGCCCGAGTACCTGCCTCCTGTCCAGGACATCCCAGCTCCAGCTCCAGCTCCAGTCTACTCGGCTCCTGCTCCAGCTCCAGTCTACTCTGCTCCTGCTCCAGCTCCAGTTTACTCTGCTCCTGCTCCAGCTCCAGTTCAGGACTACCTGCCGCCCGTCCAGGACATCCCAGCTCCAGCCCCTGTGTACTCTGCTCCTGCTCCAGCTCCGGTTTACTCTGCTCCTGCCCCCCGCTCCGGTGTACTCCGCTCCTGCCCCCGCTCCTGAGTACCTGCCCCCAGTGCAGGACATCCCGGCACCGGCCCCGGCCCCAGTCTACTCCGCCCCAGCTCCCGCTCCGGTTTACTCCGCCCCTGCTCCAGCCCCCGCACCAGTCTACTCCGCCCCTGCTCCAGCTCCCGTGGAGTCGGGCTACCACTACAACGTGCCCGCCAAGCGTTTCCGCTTCTAAGGGGCAGCAGGTGGACTCAGATGGAGCCACAGCCACAGGCACAGCCATTCAAGCGGTGACAGCTTGTTAAATTAACAAGCGCCGTCGCCCATTGTTGTTGAATATTTGTTGTTACGCAAAGTTCCCGTTGAGATTTTAGCTAATAAATAAACATAAAAATATTAAAATGTAAACACAAGCGCTGTTAATTGCAAATGGATCGATCGATCGATCGGGCGAAGGGGCGAAGGGGTTCAGCACAGAGTTGCGCGATTTCAGCGACCGCATTAAACATTTCAATAATCAGCGCCATAAAAGTCTGGTGAAAGAAGCGAGATCAGCAGGTTCGCGTAAGAGTTGGACCCATCCACAACAACAAGGCCGATTATACAAAGATGACCTCAGGTGTAGGCCATCGTTAAGACCACTCAACACACCTAAAGCATGATTATATATGTGAGAGAAATCTCTTTAGAGTTGCAAATTTTATCGCTGATGGCCCGGCCCTCGTATATGTTTAAGTCCTCGAGTGAAAAAAGTGACAATTGTTAACCAACAATGCGCAAAATATCAAAATATCTGATGACTCTTTAAAGTTTTTATTAGCTAAAGTTTGTGAAAGGACTAGGGACTGTATCAAATGTTTAACGTTTATTTTAATAGTTTTGATAGCATTTATTTTTTAATGTCTGAATAAGTCTTAAACAAGAAAGGCAGCAAACTTCGGCAAGCCAAAGTTAATATACCCTTGCTGCATTGCAAAAATTTAATATTCTTGAAAACATTAAAATTATGATTAAGTTGCGTATATCTTTAAAAACATTGAAGCTATAATGATTGTCAGCTTAATTATTCGATAGTTCCTATGGCAGCTATACGATATCGTTTTCGTATTTTAATGTTTATATATTTTTATTGTTTCCGTGGGAGATATATGATAGATTTTAATTTTTAATTTAAACCGTAATTCTGAAATATTAAACCATTACTATATGTCGAATAACTAACAAAAATAATTAAAAAACAGCAAAGTTATAATTTTTTTTCAATTATTTCTTCGATTGTTCCTATGGGAGCTATAGAGTATGCTATAGTCGTCCGATTTTGATGAAATTTAAACCGTAATTCTCAAGCTTCAAGGTTTTTTAACATATACGCAAGTAAGTCATAATTTTAATGTTTTCGAAAGTATTTAATTCTTGCAATTGCTGCAAGGGTATATGAACTTCGGCTTGCCGAAGTTTGCTTTCTTTCTTGTTTTTTTTTAGTTCTTTGACATATAGTAATGGTTAAATATTTCAGAATTACGGTTTAAATTTCATCAAAATCGGAATACTATATCTTATAGCTCCCTTGGGAACAATAAAAATATTAAAAATTTTTTTTTTTTAATTTAACTTTTTTATTTTGTAATTATTTTTAGAAATTATTTATGATTAATTAATAATTTGACTGTTCAAAATTACGCGAGAAAAGCGACGAGGAAGGCGGAGAAACTCCGGAACTGGGATTGGAGAACGTGGGCGGTGTCTTTCTGGTACTGGGATTCGGATTGTTATCGGCCATGGTACTCGGATGCACAGAGTTCCTCTGGAACGTCAAGTCAGTAGCTATTGAAGAAAAGGTAATACTTATTTGCGCTTAATAAGAAGTTACCGTAAGGTAAAGCCTGTTCAAAACTACACAAATCTAGGATTTTTTCGATCTTTAACAATAGTATTAAAAGTTATAATGAAAATTATGTTTATGTTTAGAAATGAACACATTTTTTATTATGTTACCATATTTTAAAATGTGTAAGTTAAGCTTTTCGCCTGTTTTTGAGCCTATTTTATTATATTCGAAGAGTAAAAGACTACATTGTATGCAACAGGTAGAAAAAGCAAAGAATTTATCTTTCCGTATGAGAACGAGATTTCTGGGATTTAGATTAAATTTAGTTATTTTTTAAATTTTGTTACGCCCACTTGAATGTCCACAAATTACAAAACTCTGTAGAGACCCGGTAGAGAAAAGTTATTTGGCGGTATTTGTTTGTTCTGTGTATAATCAATCAACAATTTTTCAATTCGAATTAGATGTAATAAAGAAATTAAAATTGAAAGATTTAATTGCTGTGCTCAGGCCACATTAATTTTCTCAGCGCTTATAGAAAAAAATCAAATGCAGTGTGACCTGAAAGTGGAAAATTCTCAGAAATATACCGCATTATACTCCAAATATTCTTTAAGTTTACCATAATAAAAATTCATTTTTATAAAGCGATAGTATCGATTGTGAGCCCAAACCTTAGATGTTTTCAAATTTTTTCGACCATCGATAGTATCGATAGTGCTATCGATTTTTTTACCAAACCTATTAAAAAGTCTTGAATAAGTCCTGTTTAACCAATTGCTTCTCTTGGCAGATATCACTTAAAGATGCTTTTAAATCTGAGGCTTTGTTTGCGGCCAAAATTTGGATAACCACCAAACCTGTGCACACAAGCTCTGGCTCTGGCAGCTCATCTTCGGCCAGTTCCTCTTCAAGTCGCTCAAAGCATTCTTCAAAGTCGCAGGGCGTATCTATGAAAAGTCTCAAGAGTTCAGGGGATCATGACGTAGAGGCATCGGTACACAGCAAACTGAAGAAAATCGGTTCCATGTTCTCACTAAAATCACAGAAGACAACCACTCCGCCTCCAGAAATAGGCTGGAAGTTGGACAAGTCAACGCAAATGGATGAATTCCCAACTCCAGAACGCGAGTCCGAGTTGATCCCAGAGGTAGCCCAGAGCCAGAGATAGAACATCCGCAACATCGACATCATCATCATCATCATCATCATCATCATCACCATCGCCATCATCGCCATCATCACCAACATCATGAACAAGATCAGGAGCATGAAAAAGATCCATCGCCACTTGATTGATGTATTTTGGGTACCAAATGTAACAATGAGACAACATCTTATCGTCCTCCACCCCAAAGACCAATTTAAGGACTTTTCATACACAAAAAAAATCATTTGTCTAATTCACCAGGGACTATAAATAATGATTTTTTTCTCAAACAAAAAAATTACATGTTATGACCCTAAAAAATAATGGTTTACGCAAATATCATTCTCTTCATCCAAATAATGCATTTCTGCCATGATTTTTTTTCGATTAGGTAAAAATTTCTTCAACAAAAATTATTATTTTCAAGTATTTAAAAACTATTATTTTTGATAAAAAAAATAAATTATCAAAGATTTTTATTGTTTTTACTCAAAATAAAACTCAATTGTAAGTCCTTGCGTTAGATTTTTTGGAAAATTGTTGTATACACTTGTATGGGGATCACAAAACTACCGCTCAGTACTTTTTGGGTTTTTTCTGCGTTAAAGAAAAAAAATTTAAATCAAATTAAAAATAAAACGTCATGCCGCCTGCGGTACTCATATCCTTGTATATGGATCACAAATCCGCCCCAAAGTACTTCTTCTTTTTCTCCACTGAACAATAAATTAGAGTACTTAATGATTTTTATTTTATTCCTCTCAAAATAAAACTAAAAACTAATTGCAGCATTTACTGAATAAATACGTAAATACTTTTGCGTTTTAATTTTACTTCGTCACAATGAAAACAAAATTTCGATTGGCAATTAGTCGTATTATTATGCTAAACACTCATGCATTATCACTTTTAAAATCGCTTATCTTAAACCGAATGAAATAATACTAATTTTTTTATTCCTACGAATTGGGCCACAAGCGTAATTGTACTCTGCGCAGTTTTTATTGGCAAAGAAAATTTGAGTGCCAACTATGTGAGCAACCTAAAGCGGCATTAAAAGCGAAAGAACTAAAGTAAAATGAAAATAATAAAAAAAAAAGTGTTTGGTGGTAACGGGTCGAGGAACAAAAATAGCTCAATCAAACGTGAAGTGTTAGCCACCTTAAAAAACAGAATCATCTACTTAAAAATTGACTCGGCCGAAAGGTGCAATCTCGGAATTCTCGGTGTAAATTTCCGATTCGTTGACCAAGGTAAAATTTGCGTTAAAACGTTGGGTCTGATAGAGCTGAAGGCATCGCACCGAAATTAAGTCCAGATTGGCTGATTATTGCATGTCGATAGACAAAATTTATACCATCACGATGCACAACAGTCGAAACGTTGGTCGTATTAAGCAGAACAAAATGATCACTGATCACTGGTGGATTTGTTACGAAAGTTTTGCTGAATGCGTATGATCACTGATCGTATTGCAAAAATTCTTCCATCATGATCAGCAAAAAAGGAGCGTGAAAATAGTACGCTACCTTTTCTTGATACATGATACATAGCTGATAGCCTATATCGATGGTGTAAATATAGTTAAGAATAAACAGAAAAAAAAAAAACAATACAAAAATAAACAATAACGGAAGCAAACTTCGGCAACTCGAAATTCATATACCTTTGCAGCTATAGCAGCTATTGTGAAAATTAAATATTCTTGAAAACATTAAAACTATGATTTATTTGCTTATGTATATGTTTAAAAACATTGAAGTTATGATGATTTACAGCTCAATTATTCGATAGTTCCTATGGCAGCTATATGATATCGTTTTCCGATTTAAATAAACTTAAAAGCGTAATTCTGAACTGTCAAATTATTAATAAGTCAAAAAAAGTTAAAAAAAAAATTACAAAATAGAAAAGACTACCTGCAATAGAAAGACAGCTTTTGGGAAAGTTTCATGAAGATAGCTTTAAAACTGAGAGACTAGTTTGCGTAGAAACGGACGGACAGATGGACATGGCTAAATCGACTCTCCCAGTGATGCTGATCAAGAATATATTTACATTAAAGGGGCGGAAACGTCTCCTTCACTCCGTTGTAAACTTTTGACTGAAATTCAAATATCTGCAATGGTATAAAAATATTAAATTTTTTAGGCTCCAACGATTTTTCTGGCAAAAATGAGCCTTTCAACCGTTTTCAGGTTGAGAGGTGCGCGAATTTCTTATGGTTTCAGTCCTTTAAAAATTGCTTGAGTTCTACATTTATAACTTACAAGAAAGAAAAACTTTCACTTTTTGGAATTTTTTTTTTTATTTTTTTGGTTAAAGCTAAAAAAATGCCTTTGAATATAATGAAATGAACAAATTCACGAACAAATTGTTCGCCTCCATCATTGCAGCCATTTTTTTCTCAGGATATACGAATTAACGTAAACCTATTTAAAACAAAAAAAAAGGTTTTATTTTTTTAATTATTTAGGATCCATGCATTTTGGGGTCCTGATTTCGACTAAATAGGTCAAAGTTTGCGACAAGACCGATTTCTTGGAAAATAACGGTAAAAACCGATATTTATGTTTTTTTTTTTGGCAATTTGACCTTTATCAAAAACACATCCAAACAAAAGCTCGAGTCTACTTGAAATACACATTTCATGCTCAGTGACTTTTCGGTAGAGGTATTATTTAAGGAGATATCAACCAAAGTTGAGTGCAAACTATCTGAACGTTCATCGATATATTATCGGAATGAAAATCATCGATGTGCAACATATATATGCCGGCAAAATTTGAAATTAATAAAAAATCGGAGATTTTTGTAAAAAAAATTTTTTGACTGCTTCGCTTTTATTCCAATCGTTCATTTCTTCTCTAATACCTTCCTTCCTTTCTGCACCATATCTGCAAGAAAAAGCCTTTACAAACAGAAAATAATAACAAAAACTAAACATTTTTTAAGAAAAATCTTCCTCTATTAAATATAAGTAATATAAAACAAAATAAAAAACAATTAAGTAAAATCATAAGCAAATATTTTAAATTCAAAACCATAACGATAATTTAAATAAATATTATGATGTTATTCGAGTGTAAAGCTTACACTGTAAACTGATTTTATGTCTGAGAAATATATAATTTGATCAATCGGCAAGAGTTATATATGGGAAAACCTTAGAGATGAGCAATTAAGCGATAGTTTAATTTAACTCCATAAGAGTTAAGTGATGCCACCCGGTCAAATTTATTGTGCGCTCATTTTAAAATGTACGGTTTGAAGGCAGAAGTTTTCTGCATTTTCTTGTTAACTATCAGCTTTACGCAAAATAAAGTCACAAAACATGAAACAAAAAGTATTGGGGTTGTTCAGTTTTTATTGCATTTTCTATTTTAATTTTTTTTTGTATTTATTGCTTCGTTAAACTAGTTTTTAATTATATTTTTTGTTTGCACTGAAAAGTGTTTTCGTAAAGTTTTTGAATTCGAAATTCCTTAAGTAATTTAAATTATTTCATATGAATACTTACAATTTTGACTAAAATTTTATTTTTTAAATATATATTTTTTTAATATTTATAATATTTACGATATTGTTATACATTATTTGGGTAAACTTTTTTTTGCAAAGCTAGTTAAATACGTTTGTTTTTTTCTTTTCTTCTCTTTTAAGGTACATTATTTGTTGCTTTTCTTTCTTGCTTTCGTTTTTTTACTTTTTTATTTTTTGTTTATTTTTTAGAGCTTCTGTCGCACAATATTTTTTAACCATGTAAAAATAAATGTATTCTTATTAATTTAATTAAATTTTATTTTAGTTTATAATATTTTTGATTATAATTAAACGAAAAGAAAGTTAGCTTCGGCAGGCCAATGTTTTAATACACTTTGCAGTCAAGTAATGAAATCAAAATGATAAAAAGGATATGATAGAAAACCATATTAGGCAAAAAAAGCTAAATGAAAGAAAAATTCGAAATAACGAAATGTATTAAATTTTACCATATTGTTCCTATGGCAACTATAGGGCATAATTTCCTGATCGCCAAGGATTTTGTCAGTTTAGATTAGGGTGGTCCAAAAAAACCCAACTCTCACCATTGAACAGAAGCGTTCAAAAACCAAAGAATTTTATTTTAAGTTGTATGCGTTGCGCAATGGTTTTTTAAGTTTCCATTTAACTAATTTACTGATTCGACATATAAAAGCCAGCTCGAATTTTGTGCAAAGGATTTTTCTCACCATTTCTATTTTGTGAACTTTTTTATATCAGTAAAACATGAGAACAACATAAGCAATTTTTTGGTAGAAAATCTGAATTTAGTACGCCACTTGGATGATATGAGCAGACCATAGAATGCATTATTTTAACGAATTTTGTTTTTTATATTATTAAAAGCGCACAAAACAGCTGGTTAGACGAATGCCTTTAAATTTCTATACAAATTTGGACCAACCTAGTGTAACTATACAAAAATACGGGTTGGAATGAATCAAAAATATACGAAAGGCTATAGAATAAAGTCAACCTATTTTGATAAAATATTATGTATAGGTTCTAAACACCATAAAAACATCACTCAGGGCAACTTTAAATTTTCTCAAATTAAATTTCAAATGTATAACGATTGCAAAAGTTTCAAATCTCTAGCTTTTAAACTGAGCTCGCTAACCTAAGGTTAATTTGAAGGGGCAAATTTCATTGGACATTGGTAAGCTAGGTAAAGGGTAAATAGCAGTCGGATCACTCGACTGCAACGTTTCTTCTTGTTTTTAATTGTTTTAAGCAACCCACTGGAGTTTTGTGCACCTCCGTTTGTAAAATACCGGTCATAATCCATCCTGTCCCGAGTGTTAAACAGATCCCAAAACGCCCCTTGGGCAACCAACTTACCTATCGCCTTCAGTTCGACGCTCTCCACTGCCCGCGCGTCGATCTTGAAGACGTGGACGGTCTCCGTGTTGGAGGAGGCGCAGAGGAAGTCCCCGCTGGCCGAGAAGACCAGTGAGGCGATGCGGACGCAGCTGACGCCGCGCCGGAACTCCTGCACCCGCTGGCCATTCTTGACGCAGAAGACCCGGATGACGGTGCCGCGCTCGGAGGCGGTGGCCAGCAGGGCGCCGCTGGGCGAGAAGGCCAGGGCCGAGAGGGGCGTGTCGTGGGCCCTGATGGTCATGCCCGTGCGCAGCTTGCTGGCGTTGAAGATGCGCAGCTCGCCGCTGTTCTGGCAGACCGGGAAGGCCAGGTGCGAGTTGAGGGACAGGGCGCACAGGCCCTGCTCGTTGGGAGCGATGTTCTCGATGGAGTGCAGGATCTTCATGTCGCGGATGTCGTGGATGTGTATGCTCTCCGCCAGGCAGACGATCAGCCGCTGGCGGTTCATGCGGACGCACAGGATCTCCGACGGGTAGAAGCAGTTGCAGATGTCCTGCTTCTTCTTGAAGTGCAGCATCTTGAGGCAGTTTGGCTTCTGGGCGGTGACCAGCACCACCAGCGAGCTGTTGAACAGGCGCTCCACTATTCGGATCTGCTCCGTGTTGTCCTTGGCGAAGATCTCCTCCACCTTGTCCTGGCTGGCTATCGAGTACAGGCGCAGGCCCGTAGGACTCAGCACGGACAGGGATCTATCGAGAAAAAGAGAAAACGTAAATAACAAGCTTTATGTAGATTTTGGTTGTCCCAAAATGACTTTCTACCAAACCCAAACCGAAATTCCAATCTCGTATCCGAAAAACCTCTTTCGTTGATAACAAAAAATATTAAATACCCTCCAACGCAAATTTAAAATAACATTAATTAATCACAAGCTTAGAAAAAATCTCAAAAGGACTGTTTAATCTAAAATCCCCCTTGAGATATTTGAGTTATAATAATAATAATATCACTTTGGCCACCTCATCAAAAATGGATTCCAGTACTCCATAACATTTTATTAAAAGCTGTATTTTTGTTATTTTTTATTTTTCCCGTTTTGTCCACCATCTTCTATTTTCTCATCACTAAAAGTTTTGATTCAAATTTACGTTGGTGGCGTTCACTTTGAGATAAATATTAAAATATATTTAGTGTTTGAATGTTGATCATCTTAGACTTATCAAAACCAAAACATTAATAGGTATTTAATCTTGTTTATAAATTAGTGATACCACAAAAAAAAAAAGTTTGAAAAAAAAACTTATACATACAAACACAATTTTTTTATTATGCCGTTACTTTTAAAGAAATTTTGCAGGTTAAAGAAAATAAAATTTATATACACAATCAATCCATGTTTTCGAAATAAGGTAGAAAATGGGAATAATTAATAAGAACACAGCAACAAATAAATTCTAAACCATTTTTTGGAAATTGGCGCTATAAGAACTTGTAAATACGGTAAAACTTAACAAAAAATCGCAAAAAATTACCATAATTAAAAATTTTTCTATCATTTTTGGTCAATAACTCGACCACACCTCCACAAATACGACGTTTTTTGTACCCTTGCAGATGGTATTATAATTTCAGTCAGAAGTTTGCAGCGCAGTGAAGGAGACATCTCCGACCCTATAAAGTATATATATTCTTGATCAGCATCACTAGTAGAGTCGATCTAGCCATGTCCGTCTGTCCGTCCGTTTATATGCAAACTAGTCTCTCAGTTTTAAAGCTATCTGCATGAAACTTTCCCAAAAGTTGTCTTTCTATTGCAGGTAGTATATAAGTCGGAACGAGCCGAACGGACGACTATAGCATATATCTCCCATAGGAACAATCGGAAAAATAAATGAAAAAAAATTATAACTTTGCTGTTTTTTAATTTTTTGTTTAGTTCTTCGACGTTTAGTAATGGTTAAATATTTCCGATTTACGGTTTAAATTTCATCAAAATCGGATGACTATAGCATATAGCTCCCATAGGAACAATCGGAAAAATAAATGAAAAAAAATTATAACTTTTCTGTTTTTTATTTTTTTGTTTTGTTCTTCGACATTTAGTAATGGTTAAATATTTCCGATTTACGGTTTAAATTTCATCAAAGTCGGACGACTATATCATATAGCTCTCATAGGAACAATCGGAAAAATAAATGAAAAAAATTATAACTTTTCTGTTTTTTAATTTTTTGTTAAGTTCTTCGACATATAGCAATGGTTAAATATTTCAGAATTATGGTTTAAATTTTATCAAAATCGGACGTCTTTATCATATAGCTCTCTTAGAAATAATAAAAATATATAAAATAACTATCAAATAATTGAGCGGTTAATCATCATAGCTTCAATGTTTTTAAACATATACGCAGTAAATCATAATTTTAATGTTTTCAAAAATGTTAAATTCTTGCAATAGCTGCAAGGGTATATGAACTTCGGCTTGCCGAAGTTTGCTTTCTTTCTTGTTTTTCCTTTATTTCGAATGAAACAAATTTTCATACCCTTGCAGAGGGTATTATAATTTCAGTCAGAAGTTTGCAACGCAGTGAAGGAGACATCTCCGACCCTATAAAGTATATATATTCTTGATTAGCATCACTAGGCGAGTCGATCTAGACATGTCCGTCTGTCCGACTGTCCGTCCGTTTCTACGCAAACTAGTCTCTCAGTTTTAAAGCTATCTGCATGAAACTTTCCCAAAAGTTGTCTTTCTATTGCAGGTAGTATATAAGTCGGAACGAGCCGGATCGGACGACTATAGCTTATAGCTCCCATAGGAACAATCGGAAAAATTAATGAAAAAAAATTATAACTTTGTTGTTTTTTAATTTTTTGTTTAGTTCTTCGACATTTAGTAATGGTTAAATATTTCCGATTTACGGTTTAAATTTCATCAAAATCGGACGACTATAGCATATAGCTCCCATAGGAACAATCGGAAAAATAAATGAACAAAAATTATAACTTTGGTGTTTTTTAATTTTTATTTTTAGTTCTTCGAGATATTGTAATGGTTAAATATTTCAGAATTACGGTTTAAATTTCATCAAAATCGGACGACTATAGCATATAGCTCCCATAGGAACAATCGTATAGCTGTCATAGGAACTATCAAATAATTGAGCTGCAAATCATCACAGCTTCAAGTAAATCATAATTTTAATGTCATCAAGAATATTTAATATTTGCAATAGCTGCAAGGGTATATGAACTTCGGCTTACAGAAGTTTACTTCCTTTCTTGTTTTGATTTAAAGTGTTTTTATAACCCTTGCAGATAGTATTTAAATTTTGTCAGCAGTTTGCAACGCAGTGAAGGACACTATTGCGACCCTATAAAGTATAAATATATCTTCTTGATCAGCAAAATGTAATTTTTTTTCAATAATTTTTGTATTATTCCTTTCGTTTCTCTAAAGAATTAATTAATTCATTTTGAACAAGAAAGAAAGCAAACTTCGGCAAGCCGAAGTTCATATACCCTTGCAGCTATTGCAAGAATTTAACATTTTTGAAAACATTAAAATTATGATTTACTGCGTATATGTTTAAAAACATTGAAGCTATGATGATTAACAGCTCAATTATTTGATAGTTATTTTATATATTTTTATTATTTCTATGGGAGCTATATGATATAGACGTCCGATTTTGATAAAATCTAAACCATAATTCTGAAATATTTAACCATTGCTATAAGTCGAAGAACTGAACAAAAAATTAAAAAACAGCAAAGTTATAATTTTTTTTCATTTATTTTTGCGATTGTTCCTATGGGAGCTATATGCTATAGTCGTCCGATCCGGCTCGTTCCGACTTATATACTACCTGCAATAGAAAGACAACTTTTGGGAAAGTTTCATGCAGATAGTTTTAAAACTGAGAGACTAGTTTGCATATAAACGGACGGACAGACGGACGGACAGACGGACATGGCTAGATCGACTCTACTAGTGATGCTGATCAAGAATATATATACTTTATAGGGTCGGAGATGTCTCCTTCACTGCGTTGCAAACTTCTGACTGAAATTATAATACCCTCTGCAAGGGTATAAAAACAGCAATGTATAATTTGCTGTCTTCTTCCGATTGTTCCTATGGGAGCTATAAACTGTCTTCCGATCCGGCTCCTTCCGGTTTATATATTACCTGCAGTACGAAGACAAGTTTTTGGAAATTTTTGTTGCTTTAAAACTTAAAACTAGGTTACGTAGAAACATACATACATACAGACGGACATGGCTAGATCGACTGTCCTAGCGATGCTGATCAACAATATATATATACTTACAGGGTCAGAAATTCTATTATAAGGGTATAGAAATAATGATTAATTTCGGCAACTGGTAGGTATACTAATTTATTTATTTATTTATTCACCAATGGATGGATAAATCCTTATCTGGCTATCAGCTTATTTAACTTTAAAACTAAATATTAACTAAAAAATATTCCCTAAGTAATTGCCTGACCACATCCTTCTTGGATCCCCAAACCAATCGAATTCTTAGTGGTAAAGAGTTTAAAAGTCTTAAAGTTCTTAAGATTGGCTCATTCCGCGCATAGTTAGTCCTCGCAGCACTTTCATAAAATGGGATGATGGTAGGAAGAGACTCCTGGCTGGGACATTGAATTTAATTGAGCTTAATATGAATGGACTATCAATATTACCAATTAGAACATCGTTCGCTATCGAACGCCGATCTACTAGACTGCAGGTATGCAGTAGGCAACATTGGCTAGAGTAAGCTGGCAAAGGTTCCGAAAAGTTTAACGGCTGAAGTGCAAATTTTAGGTATTTTTTCTGCAGCCTCTCAATTTTATTGATATGAACAACACTTGACGGGTTCCACAAATAAAGGAAGCATATTCCACTCTTGAACGCACAAATGCTGAGAACACTGTCAGTCGTGAGTATGGGTCCTTAAAAAGTATAGTGTTTCTTTTAACAAATCCGAACATTGCATATGCCTTCGGCAGAATATGGTTTATATGGTTAATAAATAAAAATTTACTGTCGAAGAGGACCCCAAGATTTCCTAAGGTTTTTATCCGAACTGACTTAGTGAGCCAAAACTTCAAAAACAAGATCGAAAACAATCTTTATCCGCACATTAAACGGACAAAACTTGCAAAACTGTATCGTAAAACGATAAAAAACGAATCATCTGTCGCTCATACCTTTTCCGAGTGTTTAATATTTGTTTTGCTAGACTTTGTATTGATTAAGTGACCGCAAAACAGAATTCTAATCATATGTTTTGTTTTTTTTTTAGAAATAGTTCTTACCATTTACGACTCAAGACTACAAGTATTTTCGATTTCGACAATAGAACGAACTTTAAATGGGGGTTTGTTTTAATCCTTTGGCGAACCTGTTGCAAACTATCGTTTGAGTCTCCTTTTTTGGGCTACTAAGAACTAAAAGGCATTTAAAAAATATATTAAACCATATTCAGGATTTTCTCCTTGTGCAGCACACCCAACTTAATTCTAATTTCACCTACTTAAACCAATAAATTTTCGAATATGGATGTAGAATGATAAGACAGTTGGTTTTTTTTATATTTTCAACTAATGATAAATAGTTTTATTGTGAACATTCAGTTTTTGTCCATCTTTGATTTTAATATACCATTTGCTTTATGTTATAATGGTTACGTAGGTTTAATTTATAAAGTATGCACTGCATCATCGTTTCAATTGCTTAGTTATGTATTAACTCAAACTACAATTTGTGTACATGTCAATGCAGGTAAGCATTCGCAATGAACTAAATGTATATTTATTGACTATGTTTATCTATAATCATTAGTTTCTTTTATATTCATATAGTATTAATGGTATGTATCATATATAACTCACGATTATTTTGTTAGGGCTCGAAAAATATACAGCTAAAATTAAAATACTTAGCGTAGTTTATGTTTGTTTTAGCTAAACTGAAAGAGCACATAAAGGGAACTAAAATTAACGTTAAAAAGGCATTGGGAGTGTTTAAATGG